GCCCTATCCAATGTGTCCCAAGTTCAGGGGTCCCTGGCCCCATCTGCCCACCAGCACACCTGTACTTCAGGGACCTGTTGGACAGGGCCCTGTGAGCCACCCTGTGTCCCCTCTTTGCTTTATCTGCTGGCATCTGGGGAGCCCGAGGACATAGCCAAGTCTCTGTCCCCAGGGGGGCAACAATGCTGGCCACACCGTGGTGGTGGATGGCAAGGAGTACGACTTCCACCTGCTACCCAGTGGCATCATCAACACCAAGGCTGTGTCCTTCATCGGTGAGTGTCCCCTGCTGCCACCCCAGTTTTTCAGTGTGAGCCGGAAGGCTGAGTTGGGCTCAGGCACACCCTGTGTGCAGGTCCAAAGCCCTGGGCTGCCTGGACTCAGGAGCTGGTGTAGGAATCCCGCACACAGCCAGCTACCAACCAGGCCAAGCAGGAACAGACAGGTGGGGAGGAAGTGTGGAACCTGTCTTCCCAGCCTTGCAGACCAGACACGGTGTTGCCCAGGATGCCCCAGGGTTAGAGGCACAGGAGGCTCTGCTGAGCTCAGACTCCTGCGTGTGCCTGGAGTCCATCCACCGATGTGCCTTTCATGTCTGGTGTGTGCACAGGTGGGCGAGTACAGCTGCGCAGTGTGGATGGGGTACACTCAGGAGCCAGGCTTGGCTTTCTACATTGCAACCCCAATGCCTGACAGACTCCCCACCCCAGACCCCTATCATGCTATAGGGACCCCTGCCCCACAGTCCCCCAGCTGCTCCAGGCTCAGTGCACATCCTCCCCTCTTGACCTCATTGCAGCCACCTATGACCTTTTGGTGCCCTTGAGAGGTGAAGCCACCTTGGTACTCAGGTCCTTGTCCCCACCCCATCTCCATCAGTGGACTGCAGAGCTGTCCTGGCCTACTTCCTAACCTGTGTGCTTTGAGCTTTGCCTGGTCCCCAACCAGGCCTGGCTCCATCTGGCCCGTTCCTTCAGCTCTTTCCAGCCCCCTAGAAATCTAGCTGACCCCTAGTCCTCAGGAAGTGCCAGTGAGGAAGCAGCTCCAGGTTGTGCCCCAGGACAATAGCCTCTGCCTACTGTACAGGAGCTGAGGGCTGGCCTTGTTCTTCTGAGCCCTGACCACTTCCCAGGAGGACCATCTGACTGGACGCTGGAGGCCAGGTTAGGGCCATGGCCAGAGCCAGGCTGCAGGGTCACCAGGAACATGAGTGAGTGGAATTCCAGCCAACATGGAGGGCGCTCCGCAAAGCCATCAGCAAGGGGCTCGTGACACTCACCACCTCTGCCACATGGTTATTTCAAGATGCTGTGGCATTTAGGTGACCTCTCTGGCTCGCTGTGACTTGTGCAATCTCTGGCTCACTCCCTTCTGAACTGATGTCCCCTTTCCCTCAGCCAGACCATGCATGCAGTGTTGCAAGCGGGAGTCTCTGCTGGGCTCCTGATGGCCTGAGCAAGGGGTCCCTTCAGCCCAGATACACACCAGTGTGCTGCATGACCTCGGGAGGGTTGCCTCCCTCAGCCCACGTGGAAGCCCTCTGCAGTCCCCACTTCAGTTTCTGTGCTGCAGTCCGTGGTCCTGGAGGACGTGGGGGCTGAGTTCCTCCAAGGTTCCCCTTCTGAGTATTCATGATATTTTGGTAAACAGCCCTTTCAGTACAATCCTCTGTGGAGGTCACTGCCCTGCAGCCAACCTCAGAACCATTTCATTGACTTTGTCACCAGAAGCTCCACCACAGTTCTAGCCACTGCCCTTCCTCCACTCCTGCAGGCCGCAGCTGATCTGCCCGTGGTGTGTGTTTTCCTGCCACACTGTTGCTTTGACCTTTTTTTTTTTTTTTTTTTTTTTTTTTTTTTGGTGTGGTAGCAAAATACATTCAGTAAGTGTTAATGTTTAAATCAATTTTTAGTGTCTTTTGAAAGACTATTTCTTAGAGCAGTTTTAGGTTCACAGCAAAACTGGGACAGGCACAGCAGACTCCCGGCGACCCCATCCCCTGCATGTGCAGCCCCCAGTGAACACCCTGTCACCATGGAGCAGCACATAAATGCTACCAACCCAACTAGGGTTCACACTGGGGCCTCCGGGGGTTGTGGGTGGGTGCAGTGATGCGTGTCCACTGCTACTGTCACCCAGGACAGTACCACTGCCTTAAAATACCCCTTGGCTACCACGGACCATTTTACTGCCTTCACGGTTTTGTCTTTTCCAATGTCAAAAATGAAGTTGTATCATTATAGTTTAAAGGTCAAACTGGCTTTTATTTGCCACCCCAGGGTGGGCAGCACCTGGCCCTCATGGAACCAGTGGGGAGTCCAGTACAAGGGCAAAGGCAGTGGCAGCAGCCACTGGTGGCATCACAGTCCTACTCCCACAGGGCCAAGCTGAGGGGACAACTTCACAGTCCCATTTCCAAGTTCAAGTTGAGCCAGGTGTGGTGGCACACACCTGTAATCCCAGCACTCAGGAGGCTGAGACAGGAGGATTGCTGTGAGTTCCAGGTCAGCCTCAACTACATAGTGAGACCCTGTCTAAAAAAACCAAAAAACAAACCAAGTTCAGGTGGAGGTCGTGGCCCTTGGCACAGCGCCACCATGCTGGTCTGGCCTGGCGGTGGGGCAAGCTTCACAGCCCTGTCCAGAACCCTGACCTACCTGACCTCCCTGGCCACAGCAGGGTTGCAAGGTGTGCAGCCCCTCCACTTCGGTGCACCCCAGTTCATCCATCCACCCAGGGAAGGGCACCTTGGCTCCGAGTAGGGCAGTGAGGAATAAAGCTGCCATAACAACTGTGCTCGGGCCTGGGTATAGACATGCATTTTCAGCTGCTTTGGGTAAGCACCCGGGAACCGATTGCTGTGCAGTGTCACACCATCCATCCATAGAACCTGCCACTCTGCAGCTCTGAAACCTGAGTTCCTGTTAACCACTGTCCTGCTCCTATGTCAGAGTCTGTGACTCAGGGACCTCACATCTGGCTGATGTCACCAGGCATTGTGTTCCCAGGGCTCATGGATACTGTAGTATGTGGCAGGGGTCCCTCCCTTTCCAAGGCTGGGTCAGGTGCATTGTGCGACGGCCACACCTTGCTCATGCATTCACCCTGAGGGACACTCAGCTGCTCCTAGCTCCTGCCTGCTGTGACCCTGGCCTGTCAGGTGCAGGCCAGAGTAAACCTCGGCTCCTGAGCTCTGGGCATGGCTCAGTCTCGTGTTGTATTGGTGTGTTGCAGGCAACGGCGTGGTCATCCACCTTCCAGACTTGTTTGAAGAAGCAGAGAAGAATGAGAAGAAAGGTAGGTCCCGGGGGTACAGACCAGGTTGCCTTGTAGTGCATAGCACTCAGGGCTGGTGGCTGAGAAGCTGAGACTCCCTCAGTGTCACAGACCAAGGGCCACCTGGAGGCTCGGGTCCAGGAGGCCCAGAAAGACAGCTGAGCATCCCTGGGCCAGTGTGCTGCAGGGTGACAGCCCAGGAGGAGGTGGTTTGGACTGGGCCATCATCCTGTGCACAGTGCAGGGGACCCCTTGCCTCTTGACCCCAGGCTCACCGTGATGGGGCTGGGCAGTTTTGTCTGGCCTGGGCACAGGTCACCTGTGGGTGCAAGAGGCTAATGAAGGCCACCCCATGTGCCGTGTCCTCACAGGCCTGAAGGACTGGGAGAAGCGGCTCATCATCTCTGACCGGGCCCACCTTGGTAAGCTTCAAACCTGAGACCCTGCCTGGCCCCACTCAGCTCCAATACCTATTCCTCACCTTTTCCAAAGGAGCTGGGTGGGTCAGGGGCCACTAGCCCTATTTGCAGACAGGGAAACTTAGGCCCAGGGAAATGCACAGTCACACCTACATGGAACAGGGTAGATCCTGAGGTTTTGGAACCCCAGCTTCTGCTTGTGCTCAGGCTCCAGCAGTCATACCCACACCCCAACTCTTTCCTGGGAAATGGCATGTGGCTACCGAGTACCTACACAGATCTCTGCCCTCTGCTTCTCTCTCACTCCCTGGCATCTGGTGGCCTGGCAGTGTTCGACTTCCACCAGGCGGTGGATGGGTTGCAGGAAGTGCAACGTCAAGCCCAGGAGGGGAAAAAGTAAGTATGGCCCTGCTGCCCTCCCTGAGTCTTGGGCCTGTGGACTGGTGGCCGTGGGTACATCTGGTCCTGGGTGCAGTGGGAGGGGACTCCACCATTCATAGCCCCTGAGGACAGTGCCCCCATGATAACCCACCTCTCTTAGGGCCCCACACTGTCCTTGCTGGCTCATGGCCTGGTCTACCCTGACTGAGCATGAGGGCCTCAGGGAAAAGAGAAGCGGTGAAGCAGCCTGGTACCCCTACCCAGCCAGTGCCCATATCCTGCCCCTGCACACTATGGCCACTTGCCCACTCCAAGACATCTGCTAGGACCTCTGGCAGCCAGAGATGGGGGAGGCTCACACGAAGTTCCCACCTCCAGCTGCTGTCCCCATGGTTACGCACATGCATGCAGACATGGCTTCATGCCTACCACAAAGACATCTACAGCTGGCCTTGTGCTCACATGTGCACACAGCCAGGCACAGATGGCGATGGTGAGCATCCCTTGTGCTGAGCAGGTCATGGGGATGGTGGGCATAGCCAACGCTTCCATCTGGGGGAAGCAGCCGTGGCCCAACTCAAGAGTGGCACCCTTACTGCCCAGCACGGGAGAAGCCAAGGCAGGGCGGCTTGGAGGCAGAAAGGGCTGGCTTAGACAGAGGGCTGGGGCTCGGAACACTGTCCTCACCCCTGCTTACCTGGAAGCCATGCGTTTGAGGAGCTTGGGGGAACCCACTGAGCCCGACATCTGGCACTCTGAGTGCCACTTCAGGGATGCTTTTGTTGTGTCACCCTGCCTGACCTTTATCCACAGGGCCCCAGCTCTGCAGGAGCTGGCAGGGCCACAGCAGGCCACGGTGAGGGCTAGGGGTCCTCACCAATATGTGGTCCTGTCTTTCAGCATCGGCACCACCAAGAAGGGGATTGGACCGACTTACTCCTCCAAGGCTTCTCGGACAGGCCTCCGCATCTGTGACCTGCTGTCAGACTTTGATGAATTTTCCACCAGGTACTGGGGTGTCTGCAGCTGGGGAGGGCAGGAGAGGTTGCGGGGAAGAGGAGGGGGCTGGGATCCTGCAGGGCAAAGTTCTGATAGTGTTGATCACCTGAACAGATTCAAGAACCTGGCCCACCAGCACCAATCCATGTTCTCCAGCCTGGAGATAGATGTCGAAGGCCAACTAAAGAGGCTCAAGGTAAGTTGGGCTCCCCAGGGTTGGCAAGTCACCCCCTCCCTTGCTATGACTTCTGGACTCTTTGGAGCAGTCTGTCAGCACCAGCTGGTGTCCCTACAGGGCTTTGCTGAGCGGATCAGACCCATGGTCCGAGATGGGATCTACTTCATGTATGAGGCACTCCACGGCCCTCCCAAGAAGGTCCTGGTGGAAGGTGCCAATGCTGCCCTCCTCGACATCGACTTCGGTATGTCCTGCGTGCCCAACCCCCACTGCTCTGTCCTGGGTTCCAGATCCAGATGGCCTTTTGTGAATGCTGGGGACCAGCTTCCTGTGGAGGCCATGGAGCCACCCACATCCACAGAAACAATCCTGCTGTCCCAGTTGTCCTAACTATAGCAGGTCAAGGAGAAGAGAAGGGCTGAGCTGCAGATGAAAGCTTTGGGCTGTCCCCAAAGCCCACAGGCACAGCAGTGAACACCAGGGCGACCAAGCCGCCTTGGTCCTCACTTGGAACAGCCTGTTCCTGCCCTCACCCCACACTCTTATGTGAGCTGTGTGGCCCTGGACATGGCACCCCACGCAGGGGTAGACATGCCTGCTGCCCTTTGCTGAGAGGCATGTGGGCCCAGGGCGCCCAGGGGTGGATAAAGCCCTAGCCTGTGGCCTGCTCTGTCTTGCAGGAACCTACCCCTTTGTGACATCATCCAACTGCACAGTAGGTGGCGTGTGCACCGGCCTGGGCATCCCACCCCAGAACATAGGCGACGTGTACGGTGTGGTGAAGGCCTACACCACCCGTGTGGGCATCGGGGCCTTCCCCACAGAACAGATCAATGTGAGTACCCAAGCTCAGGCCACAGGTGGGCTTCAGGGACCCCACTCAGCCTCCCCGCTTCCCCAGACACAGGTGGGTGGGCAGCAAACAGGCTGAAGGTCAGGTGTTTATGTGGGTGTGTGCATCTGGCACTCTGCTCACCCCTGCAGTGGGTAGGGACCTCAGACAGAGGGTGCCTGGAAGCCCCAGACACCTTCACTGGGTAGCTCGTGGGTTGCCTCCTCTAGAAAGGATGCTGGATGCCTCCTCTGGCCCTGGGGCTGGGCTGGCTTGATCATGTTTGAGGCTCCCTCCTTCAGCCCAGGCCAAGCTAGGATGAGGCTGCAAGCACGCCCTGAGCTCCCAGCCTCCTGCCTCAGCCTCACCCTCAGACCATGGTGGGTAGGAGGGGCCATCCAGAGGCTTGGGGCTTTCACTGAGCTCAGACATGGGTGGACGAGATAAAAAGGTCTGCTGTCCCCAAGCTGAGCTGTGGGCTTGGGCCCCTCCCTGCCAGTTCAGCCCCTGTTGGGTCCAGATTTACCCAGAGCACTGGGTTCTGAGCCTATCTTCCTACAGGAAGCACCTGGCTGGAATGTGAAGTCCGAGGTCTCTGACCTGTTTTCCCAGGGCAGCCTGGGGCTCCTGGGAGGCATGGCTGGGTGCAGTACACAAGGCTGTTGGGAACACTAGTGAGGGAGACATGGGGGTGGCCCCATGAGGAGTGTACCTTCAGGGATTCCCCAAGTCAAGAAAGGGGCAGCAGTGGGAGGAGAAGGGACTCAAGCACAGATACCACTAGGAGTGAGGGTCCCACTGAGCCATGTGGATGCCCTCCTGCCCCTGCAGGAAATCGGAGATCTGCTACAAAACCGTGGCCACGAGTGGGGTGTGACCACAGGCAGGAAGAGGCGCTGTGGCTGGCTGGACTTGATGATCCTGAGATATGCACATATGGTCAATGGCTTCACGGCGTAAGCGGCCCCTGTGCAGGGTTCTTCTATCTCCCCTTCAAGGATGAGGGGGCCTCGTGGTGGGCCTGGTGTTGTGTGGTGGCATCCTGGCCTTGTGAGAACTCACACCAGGTCTGGTGAGGTATGAAACAAATCCAGGTCACAGGGCCACGCTCCTTCCCCAGAGAGTCAGAACCCCTGCTCGACTTGTTGGGGGCAGTGATACCAGCAGTCTGGGACCACTTGCCAGGTGAGCACTCACCAAGTCTGGAGCCCAGCAGGGTTCTCATTGTGGCCACTGGCCTCACTCAGGGGCCAGGGACATCCTGCTGGAGGGACAGCAGGGCTAGGGCAGCCAAGCAGCAGGTGTCCATTCCTCCTCATGCTCAGGGTCAAGCAGTGGCCTCTGAGCTGAGGGACCTGGCATTTGGAGGACCATCTGCATGTGGGGCTCAGAGAAGGAGCAGGGAAGAGATACAGACCCAGTGGGGATGGCACAGTGACACAGCCCACAGCTCCCCTGGACCACCAGGAGTATCCTGGGCTCCTGAGGAGGATGCAAAACCCCAACAAGAAAAGCCACCTGTGACTCACCAGAGACCTGACATTTGGGGAGCCACAGAGGGCCACAGATGGCATCAGCTTGAGTTAAGACCCAGAGTATGGAGGTACCCCTGTGGTGCTGACCAGGATAACAGCCCTGGGGAAGGGCCCCAGGAGAGAGTGCCAAAGGGTGCTGGAAAGGGGTCTGGTTTGCTGTTGGCTGCAATTTCCAGAGTGATTTTCCAGTGAGGGTGTGGTGGGGAGAGGGAGAGGCAGGGCAGGCCCCCAGGGTTCCCCAAGAGGACCTGGAAGTCAGACGCTGGGGACCCTCTCTGGAGCAGAAAGGCTTTGCTGGACACAGGGTCTGCTGCTTCCTCTCCAGCTCATTGACAGCCAAAGCTGTGAGGGCCACCACACCTGGGGTCTCCTCAGAGGGAGAGAAGACAGAAAAGTAGAGAAAAGCCTGGAAGCCTTAGCCTCAGGCTGGCACAGAGGAAAGATGTGGAAAGGCAGCTACCATCGTGACACTGGCTGCCCCAAGGAGCAGGGATGGGGTACAGGAGGGCAAAGGGGACACGGTGCAGTGTTCATGACACTGAGACCCCCTCATTGGCTAAGCCTCAGGCAGAGGGGGCTCCAACTCTAAGGAGGAAGCTGCAGTCACAGGAAAGGGTTCTGGGCCAGGGCACTCAAGGTGGGAGAGCTGGACAGCCAAGACAGCACAGGCCTGAGCAGGTACTCCTGCCCTGTACTCTGTAGCAGATCAGTCTTTTGGGATCACCCAATCTCCAGGGTTAATATGAGGGAAAAGGAAAGGTTGAAAACAAAACCAAAGCAGTGAGGGCCGTGTCTGCATCTCTTACTCCTTGCTTTCTGGGCAGGCTGGCCTTGACCAAGTTGGACATCCTGGACGTCCTGAGTGAGATTAAAGTGGGCATCTCATACAAACTCAATGGGAAGAGGATTCCCTACTTCCCAGGTGTGTGACACGAGCATGTTTGCCTGCCCATTGAGCATCAGAGAAGGGGACAGGAAGAGGGTGGCATTGCCAGCAGGTGAGGTGTCACTGCTTTGCCCAAGGACCTGCCCCCCACCTGGCTTTGGCCTCTCTCAGTTCCTGGGGAGGACTGGCCAGTCTCAGGGACACTTTGCGAGGACCCTCACCCACCTCAGCATGAAAGGCTCACCTCCTGAAATGGAATTCTGAGTTAGTGGACATAGACGGCTCTGGAAAACCTAAAGCCCTCTTGCATATAGAAAGATGATTATTTTGTCTAGGAAAACATGCTTCGCAATTAGATTTATTTCCTTTACTTTTTGGAGCAGGGATGGGACCCAGAGTCTCACTCATGCTAAACACTTGTCTACAGCTGACTGCTAACACCAGCTCCAGGTGGACGTTAAGATCTGGGCCCCTGGCCCTATTCTTTTCTTTAGAAAAGCATACAGATGTTCTTTTCCTGCATTTCCTATCTTATGCATTTGGAATATGCCCTTTGACATCACACCATGGTCGCATCTGACCCACTCTCCCTACAGCTTCCTCTCCAGCAGCCATGAACATCATCTCTCCTCTCTCTCTCTCTTTTTTTTTTTTTTGGTACCGGGAATCGAACTCAGGACCTTGCACTTGAGAGGCAGGTGATGGAACCACTGAGCTAAATCCCTGGCCCTACATCATCTGTCTTGCTTGGCACCTGCATGCACACCTGGGTAGACCCAGAGGTGCCCCTTTGGTGTGGGGGCCATTTGCACCCTTGAGAGCCCTTCTGAACCTGGCCTTGGAGAGGATGCACCATGGACACCTGGTCTCCTCTTGGTGGTCCCTGTGGCTCTGCACATGGGGCACACCCAAGGCAGACCTTTCATGGAGGGCCACTTTTCCAAGACTTCCTTCCCACCAGCAGGGATGGTCCCTGCCCAGGAAGCATGTCCTAAAGAGTGCCTGTGCCTTAATGCTGCAGACTCTCGAGTCTCCTAGGGTTGGTTCCCTAGCAGAGCTTGATGTCACCGAGAACACTTGGTGAACATGTGTGTGAGTGCCCGTGCCCCAGGTCTGGAAGAAGCCCAGATCCTGTCCATTCCTGATTCAGTGCTGAATAACAAACCCAAGACGCCCCTCACCTTTGCTGGCTTCAGCCTGCTGAGTGTCACGTCAGGAGCAACATTCCCCTGTGGCAGACAATCTGAGACTCCGCTCACTCCATGTGTCCCCCCAGCTAACCAGGAGATGCTCCAGAAGGTCGAGGTAGAGTATGAGACACTGCCTGGCTGGAAAGCAGACACCACAGGTGCCAGGAAGTGGGAGGACCTGCCCCCACAGGCCCAGAACTACGTGCGCTTCGTGGAAAACCACGTGGGTGTGGCAGGTGGGTGCCAGTCCCCCTTCCCAACAGTCCTCCCTGCACCCTGCCCAGGGCCCAGGGTAGGGCCTAGAGAGCAGTAAGAATCTGCAGGTGTGGTGAACATGTGAATGCATCAGGCAGTGAGGGGCAAGGGGACTGGAGCTAGGCACAGGTGGGTGCCTTCCAGGGACTGTCACGTCAGCAGCTCCAGCCAGATGGGGTTGCCCTCTCCCTGCCAGGAGCAATAACTGCCCAGGAGGTGGAAGGGTAAGCAGCAGGCGCCCTGTCCCTGTGCAAGTGAGCCAAGTACATCACTGGGTGATTGGCCCACAGAAAGACTGCGCAGGCACAGGGGCAGGACGAGGACCTTGCAGCTGCGTTCCAATGATTCTCCTTGGGCACGGCCTTTTGTAATTTAAACCTTACAGTTCTTTCCATTTGTAAAAAAACAATCCTCTTTGCCAGGTGAACTGTACTACACAAAACTCCATCTGTTCATGGACTCTGTGCTCTGGGTATACCTTGACCCCCCTCTGTTGCCCTTTCAGTCAAATGGGTTGGTGTTGGCAAGTCCAGAGAGTCCATGATCCAGCTGTTCTAGACCCAATGGAACAGATGCCCCAAGCCACAGATGCACCCCATCCCTGCAGGAGCAGCTGTAGCCATGTTCCTTGGCATCACAAGCAACATTGGAAACAAAGCATCTGAAAATTATTTTCTGTACTTCTATTTTTCTATTGAAGCTTTTAGCTCAACCCATTGAATTTTGCAATGATTTTAAATATCTGAAAGCCAGCTGTGTACAGTTTTTAAAATTCTGCCGTTTAGGGTGGGGATTTAGCTCAGTGGATCCGCCACCTGCTTTGCAAGCACAAGGTCCTGAGTTTGATCCCCAGTACCCTCCCACAAAATCTGCCATTTAAAATGAGACCAAGTGCTCAAAACAGAGGCCTATGTGACACACTGTCACACAGCATGACCATTTGAGGTCATGTAATAAACATGTCCAGGAGCCACTGAGTGAGTAGCCATTCTGTGCTTGCCTCAGCTATGTCCTGCTGCTTTCCCACACTAAGAGATGACCACTGCATGACCAGAGTATGCCTGGTGCAGCTTCCTAAGAGGATATCCTGGCCTGCATGTGAGCTGACTGCTAATGGTAATTACATCGAGGCCAAAGAAAGAGGCAGGCAGGCCCAGGACTGCACAAAGTGCAGTGTGTTAAGAGACTTGAGCATGTTGTGGTGGCAGCAAGACAGGAAGGGCTTGGTGTTCAGTGAATGGTCCAGGGCCTGGGGTGGGACAGAGCAGCAGGATCAGTTCTTTGAGTTTTCTGGGAAAAAAGAGCTTCCCAAGCGGCAGGTGCCTGTCCAATGTTCAGCTTAGAACTTTCACAGACACATGCATGGGTAACCCTTAGGACCCCAAAATAGGCCCGCAGGTCTCTCTGCCCTTACTGGCTAGTGTGTCATGGACATCTGGCCTACTGGTCTTGCCAGGTGTGCTGCCCACTTGGATCTGTAACGAGCCACTTTGGAGGCAGGTGTGATGACACATGCCTATCATCCCAGCACTCTGGGAGGCTGAGGCAGGAATATAATAAGTACCAGTTCTACCTGGACAATTTAGGGACTTGGTGAAACCCTGTCTCAAAAAAATTTTTTTAAAAAGAACTTACAGAAAGGTTGGGGATGGCGCCCAATGGTAGAGTGCCCTGGGAAAATAAAAACACGTTTCGTGTGCTGTATGAACTTCCGCCTGTGTGTCACCTGACCCACACACCCACACCGGCCCACTGCCACGGCTCCCAGAGGGTGGCTGCCTTGGCAGGGGTAACCTAGACACAGGTCAGACAAGAGCCACAAGGGCGTCTGCCAGTGTGAACGGCTTACTGTGCGAGGGACACGGGTCACGCGTCGCCAAGATAAGGAAGGGGTGGGAAAAGCTCAAGGTAAACATCGGCAACCCGCGAGGCAAGGCTGGAGATGATAGCGGCTCTTAAGAGACCTCAGGCCAAGTCCCAGGAAAGCACGACAATGGCGTCCTTGATAATCCTTGATAAAATGTCATTTCTCCCAACCTGCATTAAATAAATACGGACGCCCAGGGACACTGGGGGGAGAGCGTGGGCAACGCCGAAGGACCAGCGGAAGCGGCCCGGATCGGTCACGGTTGAGAGCCGGGACTAGGTGTGTCGCCCTGACACTTTGGGATTGTTAACCAGGTTTGTCTCGCAGGAGCTGCAGAACCAAAACGCCCACACACGCCTCCTTCCCGTTCCGAGACGCCGGAACCGCCCCGCCCCAGGCTCGACCTATCGCGCGCCGTGCCGCACACAAGACCCGCCCCCAACGCTGCCTCCGCCTATTCTGCACGGGGCCGCTCCGCAAAGCCCACAAGTCCCGCCTAGATCTAGCCTCCAACCTATTCTGAGCTGCGCCGAGTGCTTGTCCCCGCCACTCCTTTCCGACCTTCGGCCTCTCTCTTGGCTTTTCCCGCGCGCCGAGTCCCACCTCCAACCTTCTCCTTGACCTATCCGGCGCCGCGTCTCGCAGAGCTCCGCCTCCGAGGTCTTCTCAGCCTATCCCGCGCCCAGCGGTTGGCGCGGTGCTGTGACGTCCGCATAGGCGCGGAGCGCGCGGCGTGTGGCGCTCTGCGTCCTCCGGCCTCGCGGCCATGCCCAAGCGGGGCTGCCCCTTTGCGGACGCAGCTCCGCTGCAGCTCAAAGTCCGCGTAGGCGTTAAGGAGCTCAGCCATGGCGCGTGTGGTGAGCGGTACTCGCGAGAGATCTTCGGTGAGTTCGGGCGTCGCGGGCCTTCCCGCCGGGGCCCTCTCCAGGTTTACTCAGCGGCGCAAGTGTCCCGGAGCCGCCTCCTCTGTCCCCAGCCCTCCCCTGCCAGTTCTGCGCCGGACGGGGTCCTGCCCCGTGGAGGACTTGCGGATGGAGGGGCAAGGTCTTAGGAAGCGGGGGAGCCGGCAGGCGGGGTCGAGAGCCGCGGAGCCTTTCGCACGGAGTCCAGACGGATTGGTGTCACTGAGACTCTTCATGGTGACCAGCAGAGTGGAGCTTCCCTTATCTAGCAGTTTATGCCTGTGACTCACTTAGAAGATGACCCGGGTGTTTGTGAATGGTGCTGCTATGCATTTGGGACGCGGGAGAGCCCAGCTTTCAGAGAGACAAAGACGCCTTCAGACCCTCCTCGCCCCTTTCCCCCAGCCATGCCGCTGCTGTGCCCTCTCTCCCCGGGCGCTGGTGTTCCAAACTCAGATGCGCTCCCAGGCCATGCAGGTGATCAAATGAGAGAAGCCCTGGGGACTGTGTCTGACCTGCAAGGTTGTGCCCTCCAAGACATAAACACTGTATTCAAAAAGAATGAAATAGGATTGGGAAGTTGTCTGTCTCTGCTGTGTCCTTGTCTTGGAGCATTTGCAGGGTCTTGTCCCTCATGGGTCTGGGCTGAGGCCTGAGAGGTGGGTACAGGCAGGCTGGTGTAATGGGTGGGCCTCCGCCAGTCCGTTTCCACCGCTCTTGCTGCTGCTCAGTCACATAAAGCCCCAGCATCTTTCATCTCTCTCCTGGCTGTTTTGGGGTGAGCATGGCTGAGACTAGCACCTGGCATTTGCTTTTGTGAGGGCTCCTAGGTGCCTCATGTAGCCTGATGGAAAGCATCACTCCCAGCAGCCGCTTTAGCTCCCAGGCATGGGTTTGTGCCAGGCCAGAGGGCCTGGAAGATTCTGGGATTCCTTGGTCAGGAACTGCTAAGGTTGGCAGGTCCCTCTGGTGGATGAAAGGAGAGTACACTGGCCTGGGGGTGTAGGCACAGCTCTGAGACCCTGGCTGCCTTTGATAATGCATGTTCCTAGTGCTTCAGGGTACAGAGTTTCCTCTACATGATTCTCCCACTTGCAGGAGGGAGAATGCTAGGGAGGGAAGGGGTGCAAGTCCAGGGAATTGAGGCTAGTGAGCAGACCAGTAGAGTAGAGGGAGCCTCTTGATGGAGCACAGGTAGGGCTGCAGGATCCAGAACCTAGCTTGGCCGCTAAGCCAAGTGAAGCTGGGAGGGAAGAGCATTTTCAGCATGGAGCCAGAGAGGGCCAGGGTGACAGGCACAGAGAGGTACATGTGCCGTCTGGTGGGTCATGGAATAGCTGTGTGAGGCTTTCTGGCTGCACAGTGTAAACTTAATGAAGGGTCTGTATTCCTCAGAGAAGACCAAGCAGCTACTTTTCCGTGGAGCTCAGGCCTGCAGAGACCCTGTGTGGGGTGAAGGCTGTGCCGTTGTCCACCTGCCTGAGTCCCCAAAGCCAGGCCCCACAGAGACCCCTCGATCTGCAAGGGGCCAGATGCTGATTGGACCCGATGGCCGACTGATCAGGAGCTCTGCCCAGGCCTCCAAAGCTGGTAAGTGGCTGCCAACCACAGGCGATGGTGGAAAGATGGTCTGCTTGGGACGTTTTCCTACCAGGACAAGCAGGGATCCCACTCAGAATCTGACACTGAGTAAATGGCAGGAACTTGAGAAGCCTCCAGTTGTCTGGGAGGTGTTAAATAGCTTTTACCTCTGGAGCTAGAAAAGAATTGAGGCTCTTTTCTAGGCCTCTGAGGTAATGTCCCACCTGTTGCTCCCTGGCCTTGTAGGTAGGAGCACATTGGCCAGGTGGCTCTGTGGCCACGGGGCAGGTTAAAAATAGTTGCCAGCTTCATTCCTGGGTCTGGTCAGTGGTCCTGGGAGGGTCTGTGTAGGAACTTTTGGTTAAGCAGTGACGCAGTGAGGCATAGTTTGAGACAGAGGGGGACAGAGATGTGATAAAGCAGTAGCAAGAGCTAGTTCTTTGGGTTCTGGGTACTGATGGGAATGCTGACCTGGAGTCTCACTGTGTATTTCTAGTTGAACAGGGTCCAGGTACTGTACTTGGCCACAGGTCATCTAGAAGACTCAGTGGTAGATGGATTGTGGCCCTGTGCCGTCACTTTCGGAGACCAGTGGTCCCGCAGCCCCACATCCTTCTACCCTCCTTCCAGGGCTGACAGCCTGGTATTTTTTCTTCACAGACCTCTCCGGGGCAGTATCCCGTGCCTGCTCATCATGCGTCCGAGCTGTGGATGGGAAGATGGTCTGTGGCCAGTGTGAGCGGGCCCTGTGTGGCCAATGTGTGCTCACCTGCTGGAGTTGCGGTGCTGTGGCTTGTGCCCTCTGTGGCCTTGTGGAGTAAGTGCCTTGGTCTGTGGAGTTGGTGAAGTCATGGACCACCCCTTCTGTTCCTCCCCCGAGTGTGCTCCAGGAGCCTGAGGATCCCCTGCAGGGGACAAGTGGGTGCTCTGTTGGCACCATTGCTTAATGGGATGGGACGTAATGGTCAAAGATGCTTTGCCCACCTTTATGTTCTGAAGACTTAATGATCCTTTCTGAAGGAAATCCAAATTTCATAAGCCAGCTACTCTCTCCGGGGCCTCCTGTCTTAGAACACCTCTTTGCTCTCCTCACCTTCACATTTAGGACTTGGGCAGCTGGCACCTTCTCATAGATTAACTTTCTCTGTATTATGCTTGTTGCCTGAGGAATGGCTGACACAGGTCAGCAAGTATGCACTGCAGTTATGCCACATGGGGGTTTGTTTATAGGGTTATGAGTTATTTCTTAATCGGGAAGTGGACCGTTCACTTAGTCAAGTCTGTGTGTGTGTGTTTCCTGAAGCTGGCTGGACTTGGCACTTGTAAGGTGCCTGCTAGGAGACTGCTTCCTCCAGGCCCATGTAACTGGATTCAGGGTTTTGCACCCTGCCTGATCTGGTTTCCCCATGCCTCTCCTTTCTGCTGCTTCTTCCCCAGACAGATTCTGGTGTCCATGGGACCCTGACTTCCCTTGTCACATGTTCTTCTCATGGCTACAGCCCAGGAGGTTGACTGCCCTACTTTACAAATAAGTGACTTGCTCAGGGTTTCTGGCCAGAAGTGGTATACCCAGGCTTGGGAGCTGGGCCCGCCCAGCAGATACACCCTGGCTTCCTGAGCCCTATGAGTGTCAGGAAATCAGTTTTTCTTCAGCATGGCTGTTGTTTACTTGAGACATGACCCAGCTGGTGCCAGTGTCCCACCTGGTGGCCCTGTACCCAGCTCCCAAGCCACCTGCCGGGGTATCTCATTGGCTCCTGTGTAGGGCTGTAGCCAGCAGCTCTGTCTCTGCTCATCTCAGCCTGCATGTCCTTGCTGTGGTCATGCAGTATGTTGCTGGCAAGTGTCCTTCCTCAAGAGTAGCAGGTACCCTATGGAGTCTTAATCATCAAAAGAAGGCACTGTGCTCCCACTATATAACCCTGTGAATTCTAGATGTCTGGGCAGTCCCTGGAGAGGGTGCTGTCCTCGGTGATATCCAGGTCATGCCACCACCGACTTATGCTGAGTCAGGCTCAGCTGTGTGGCTCAAACATCAGAAACACACTGTCATACTTCTAGAGGCCGGAAGTCCAAGGCAGGGTGCCAGCAGGGTGGGATCCTCCAGAGGCTGTGAGGGAAAATCTGTTCCAGGCCCCTCCTGCCATATTCTGGCTGCCCTGTTGATGGGCGTGTTCTCCCTCTGTCCTCATCTTTTCCTCCCTGAGTGGCATTCTCTTCAGGACAGACATTGTTCTCAGTGTGACATCCATGTCTGCTCACTTCTGCTCACCCAGGGGAAAGGAGGAAAAGCCCAGGCTTATGAGCCACAGGACATGTTTGAGCTAGGCTGCTCGCAGCAAAGCAGTGTTCACAGACAGCCCTGAACCGCCATCGTCACAAGAGCCTTTCTACAAATTAGGGCATATTCTGAGGTGTGCTGCATTTGGACACCTCTTTCAGGACAGCCCCCAGGGTCAGCCTGGGTAGGGCACAGCGAACCCTAACAGCTGTTTTCTCTCCCCCCCCACACATGCAGCTGCAGTGATGTGTGTGAGAAGGCGCTGTGCAGCAGCTGTGCCATGTTTGAAGCCTGAGACTGCCGTGTCCATGAGGAGAGGGAGTGACTGGCTTGTGTATGCGTGTTTCATACTTTGATGACAGAAGTGAATAAAACCCTTTATATTTGCACACACAACCTCCTGTCAAAAGAGTAAGTGGAACCTGTCACAGGCCAGGGTGGTCATCTGGGAGGGTGATGGTGACAGAACAGCAGGCGTGACCTGCCACCCCCTTGAAGGATGTGCCCTGCTTGCTGCCCGCCCTTCCTCCCGGCCTCACCCAGTAAGAACGAGCCCTACTTGAGGCCGGCACCTGGCTCCAAAGGGCATCAGTGGTATGCTGAGCCACCCTGTGGCAGGTACTATTCCCAACCTGTGCCTGCAGTGCCGCTGTCACACACCTGGCCATCGCAACCTGGTGTCTGCTGTGCATTCTCATACCTGTGTAGTCTGGGCGTCAGGTGACTTGACAGTGCCTGTTTCCAGGAGCTCTGGTGTGGCAAGAGAGGAGTCTTGGCTGGGTTTGGGGGCTGGAGGTCCTTACTCCATTTTGAGTGGCCGTGTTTGTACAAGGCCCTGAGGACAAGTTAATGAGAATTTCAGGGGCTTGGAGGATGGGGGTGGATCCCCACATATGCATCCCTGGGAGCTGACCTGAAAGGTGGGTCCCTGACCTCGCAAGGCTCAGTGGGCAGTTGACCTGCCTCCCAGTGTGGAGATTGGGACTAGGACAGATTTGAGGTTGAGGGCAGGGAACAAGAGAGAGCCTTCCCAACTGTGGCATTGGACACACTGGTCAGTGTCCAGGGGCAGGTAACATGGTTCTCAGGAAAGCCAGTCCAAAGTGGGCTTTGGCCAGGGCCAGTGGTGGGGCCAGGTGCTGTGAACGGGGTTGTAGATCCTTCCTGCGCCTTCTGGTCCTGGAGCATTCTGAGGCCTTGTGGGTTAGCTGGCCTGAGCACTGTGGTTGACAGGCACTCCATGCCTCAAGCACCAGAAACAAGCCCGTGGTCGCCTTGTACTGGTGGTTCTTGTCAGGGCTCACCTCCTCTCTGGCCTTAGAGGCTCAGAGCCACCTCCCAGTCTCTGCCTGCTGATTCAGACCCGTGTGCTTATGGCCATTGCTGCCCTGCTCCCTAGCTGCCCTGTGGCTGCTCCACTGTGTGTCTTCCAGCCTGCCACCCAACTGAGTATGCCCTCAGCTCCTCTGCACAGCCCCCATGCTGGCAGCAGCCAGCTGTTTCCCCTCCCTCCTGTACTCTGCTGGCCCGCCCTGTTCCTACCAGTGACAGCCAGCAGCCTCACCCCTCCTGCCTCTGGGTAGGCTGTGCCCCAGCTCTCCACCACCAGCATGCTCAAGTCTGTTTGTCATCTTCAGCATCCTATCCTGCTTCTGTCAGAACTCTGCTTTGGGTAGCTGTAAGGCTCACTCTTTGGGGCTTGGGCTTGAGCAGCACCCATACCCCGGTGCACAATTCCCATCCTTACTCCCTTAGTCTGCCTGCCTCACCACCACCTGCTGCAGCGGTCTGGAAGGGTTGGTACTGCCTGGACAGCACCTGGTGCACAGATTTGTCACAGTATCTAGCTGGCCTTCAAACAGGTAAGGAAAGGCAAATCAGCTAGACTCTGGCAGCAGCCCACAGGACAGCAGAGGGACCCCAAAGCTCAGTGCCCAAACCAAGGAGACAATCAGAGCCAGCCCCCTCCGGGTTTGCATACTGAACACAGGAGGGAATGCTGCCCTACACTAGAAGAGTACACTCTGGAGCACAAGCAGGGCCCAGCAGAGAGGCCACTGTACCCAGGAGCAGCTGCCCTGTCCTCCTCACACAGCCAGCCTGTTGCCGGTATTTTTTGTTTCATCCACTACCTGATAAAATAAAACCTACATACCTAATGCCCAGTAAAAACATACAGAGAAGATACATTTTACAGTGAGAAGGAAAGCTGGAAGTCTAGAGGAGGAAAGTGCATTGGACAAGATAAGAAGTGAGGCTAATCTTGCAGAAGGGAAAGATTCACAACTGAAGACAGCAATAGAAACGGTCCAAAGGGAATCGGGCTGACAGGAAGTGAGGCTGAGGCAGGACTGCGGACTACAAGTTCGAGGCCAGCCTGAGCAGAGCAGTGTGAGTAGTGAGACGATTTCTGGTAGTCTAGTGTGAGTGGAAGAGGTATGAGGGTGCAGGAAGGTTTTTGAAGAGGAAATTGTAAAGCATCCAAATTTGATGGAATCATAAACCTAGTCCAAGAAGCCCGATGAGCCCCAAATAGAAACATGAAGAAAGTCACAGAAAGACACATAATGATCAGATTTCTTAAAAGCGAGACCCTCTCAAGAAGCCAAAAAGAAGTGAACCAGCCTAGGATTCTGTATCCAGCACTCTGGCTGGAATACCTTGTCCCCTCTGAGTCCCTTTGTGAGAGACTCGGGTGACTAGGGCTGGGCCCTTGCGGGTGGACAAGTCCTCCTGTGGTTGGCAGCATCTGGAGCATGGGTCTGCTCTAAAAGCTTCTTGTCGCTTGCCACCTGTCATCCTGCATTGCCCCAGGACTGCGCCAGGGAGAGGTGTTGCCAGACACGGCTTTTCCACTGTGAGCCAGAGCCGGAACTGTGTTTTCTATTCCCTGCCATACTGGCGCTGTACTGTTAGTGACAGAAAGTGAACTTCAACACCTGAAAGTGTCTGACAAAAGTGAAGGTGAAATAAAGGCATTTCAGATTAACCAAAGCCGAAAGAATTGCAAGAACTGTCGGAAGTAGCTTTCCAGGCAGAAGGAAGATAGTACGTGGGAAGGAGATGTGCACAGAGGCCGAAGAGCTGGGCGCAGGCAGGTACGGGTACTGTGAAGGCTGTTTTCTTCATATCCCTAGCGTCCCTTTACTGACTGTATGTCGAGAACTCCTACACTGAATGATAAACACCAGCCCAGCTCAAAGATGAGCAAAGGACTGGACTTGATGTTTCTTCACGGGAGGGGTGCAGACAGCCCACAGTATATGAGAAGATGGCCATCATCAGGAAGCTGCAGGTCCCATCCAGTGAGGCTGTTGTGAGGCTGTCATGTGGTGTTTCCTCTGTGGAACGCAGGAGGCTGTTCCTCAGGAAGCTACATAGCTGCCATGGGACCCAGCAGGACCACATCAGGGCGTGTCACTGAAGAAATGACAGTATACAGTTGGGGCTGGCACACGTGTATGTATGTCAACAGTGGAATGTGATTTCCCCTTAGAAAGGAAATTCTGACCCTCCCAGCAATGTACAGTGAAAGCCAGATACAGGACTAACCGCAAGATATCAGCTGGGTAAGGGATCCAAGCAACCACATCTGTGGGGATAGCAAACAATGTGGGTGCTGGGACTGGAGGCAGGCAGGGATGGAGAGCTACCACTAAACAGCACAGTTTTCATCTGGAGGGACCACGTTCCCAAGAAGGTGATGGTTGGACAGCGTGTGGGTGTGTGTAACACCACTGACTGTTCACCTAGAAACAGTGAAAGCTAAGATTCACACATTTTACCACAGTAAAATATTGTTAAACAACTATTCAAAGCAAAAATGATGACACTTTATTTGGAAGTTGATGCCATATTTCGAAACAAAATTTATGATAATCCCAAGGCTATGAAAGTAGTCTGCTTTCAGGTTCTCTTGCACCACCTGAAGGTGGGCTATAACAACAGACACCATAAATCCTGAAGCCACCAGGCTAGAGAACTAACTCATTTATTAAGCATTCTAAATGGAATGTAATACTCTGGAATAAAAAGGACAGCATTTGTGAGAAGCTCATGAAACTCAGACAAGCCAATAAAGGAAATAAAATGGGAAGACTTAGAAAGGAGGCAGACAAGGGAAGGAGGAACACATGGGGCAGAAGTGGAGAAGGCAGTTCATGTGAGCTCAGCTGTACTGCTACCCCCATCAGTGTGTGCAGTCTAAATACCTCCCTGTTGGTCAGAGGCTGCCTTTTTTTCTTTTTTTTTAAACAGGCAAGACTCAACTATGCCATCTACAAGAAATTCACTTTAGGGCCAGGGATTTAGCTCAGCGGTTCAGTGGCCTGCCTTGCAAGCGCAAGGACCCGAGTTCAATCCCCGGTACCAAAAAAAAAAAAAAAAAAAAAAAAAAAAAAATTCACTTTAAAGAAATGAGTTACAAGAAAAGGATGGAATAAGCAAGCCTCTGCCAAGTGACAAGCCCAGACTTCAAGCGGGCATACCCTGGCAGACGCATTTTCTGGGAGAGCAGGCACAACTTCTAACGCCTCCCAACATGCCCGGTCATCCCTGTCTTGGATTTGTAGGGCCTACTGCTGCACCTGCTGGAACATGGGATGGGCCGGAGCCAAAGCCACTTGCTGTCTTCCTGGCTCTTCCAAGCCTGCCTTGTGTTGGGAAAAGTAAGGCATGGGTGTGTTGGGCACGGGAAGGGCAGAACCCCGCTGTGGCCTCCCTGGCTGCCCCTCTGCTGCTGTGTCCTGCTGCAGACCATTCCATCTGAGCAGTGGGAAGGCTGGGGTAGGCTGAGGGTCTCCGTCCCTGCATCCAGTCCCTGTGACTCTGGACTGTAGAAATGGCCCCAAGGGCTCTTGTGGAAGGAGCAGCTCATGGTTCTCCAATACCAAGTCATTCCTGGCTGCAGCTGTCTCCATTTCCCTCTTCCATCAACCACTTTTTGGGGGGCGGGTACCAGGGTTGAACTTGGGTCCTTGCGCTTGCAAGGCAGGTGGCGGCACCACTGAGCTAAATTCCCAGCACCCCCATCAACCACTTTTTCAGTGAGGTTTGCTCAAGGTTGGAGAATGGAAGGCCATTGCATATTCTGGCTTCTGCCACACTCGTTTTGTATGGACATGAAGTCAGGATGCCGCCTCTCCAAAGCATTGTTCAGTATGTAACCCTGCAAGTGTGTTCTCCAGAAAAGCTGTGTAAGGAGTCAGTGGTGTGGCATAAGTCTGTTAGAACTGAGGATCAGGGACACCCAGAGACCTCAGCTGCCCCTGCAGGCCCAGAACATCACCCTCCCTGCTCAGTGGGAATGGGACAGCAGCCACCTGTCCACTCTGTCTAGAGTGGATCCCACTACCTATAAGGCCCTGGCGCCCCACTCTGCAGTCCCTGGCCAGTTGCACCGTGCCTGACCCACAGAGCAATGCCACCAGGCATCGGCCAGGGGGCGCCAGCTGCAAAACATGCATGCTGCTGGTTCTGGGGAAACCTGGGCCCCAGCTGTTCCTCTCACAGTCCTTCCAGGTAGCCAGGGTCTCTCTCCCTTCACAGCCCAGGCAGCTGACTCCTCTCCCCACAGAAGTGTCCTGGAGGCTGCCCATGCCTCAGGACAAAGGCCAACCTCAGCACAGGCCCTGGCTGCAGCCCTTTACCCCTAACATTCAGCAAAGCCAGCCACAAACTTGAAAAGCAATTTTTATTGAAGATTTGGAGGGAAAGTTTCATATTATAATAGTAAAAATGCTAAAGTTCAATGTAAAAAAAATGGCATGGTATAGCAGCAGCCAAATCTGGCCAGGACAGGGAGGGCCAGGCAAGAGGGTCAGAGGTGAAGCGTGGAGAGGACAAGTGCAGAGACAGAAATCATCCAGAGCACAGGGACAGGGCAGGAGGGGCTTTCCTGTCACTGAGATTACACCCCAGAGCCAGGACATGGCAAACTACCCTTGTATCTCCGTCCTGCAGGTGAGCCCTGGCCCACTCTGTCCCATCCCAGCCCATCCCATCTGGCGGCAGCTCTGAGGATGTCCTCAGAGGCTCGGCCCTAGTGTAGGGGCTTCCTGTGCCCCACCTGGAGGAGGGTGCCAACCAGCACCCAATGAAGCTGCCCCTGGTGCCGCAGGCAGGCTGAGGCCCTGGACCTGAGGTGGCAGCTGGACGCACAGCCCGATGGGGTAGTGCAAGATGTGCCCAGACCACCGGCCCCTCACTGCAAGGGCTGCAGAGGTCTGTAAGGTTTCCTACATGAGTGTAATTGTTCAGAGGGCTGAGGCCACATTTGAAGAACAGATTGGATGAAATAAATTAAGAGAAACTGCAGGGCAATATTTCTCTTGACCTGGCCAGGTGGGAGGATGCTGTCCCAGCAGGAATGTCCTCCCTGGGCCTGGTGTGGCTCCTCCGAGGCTTCTGATCCACGTGCCAGATGCAGCTGCCGGGCCTCTGCCGTGGGCGCTTCAGGCTGTGCCACTGGCCGAGTAGGAGAACTGTGGGAAGTGCGGCCTCCGTTCACTGTCCACACAGTCCATGTTGTCATCTGCAGGGCAAGACATGGCTCAGGGGAAACCAAGGCAGGGCTGCAGCCTGGGGGGAATGAGGCCAGCCCTCAGAACAGACACCCACCCTGATTACCACCACCACAGTCTAGATTTAAGGCATCTGAATTTCAGCCACCAGGGCAGGTGGATGGGGTGCAGGGCCTCTCACCTTGGTCTGGCGGTGTGATGGTGATCATCTGGGCTGTGAACTCTTCATCAAAATACCTGGTGTCTGTCTCCGAGGTGACCTGTGGCTTGAAGGGCGGGCTCAGCTGCAGGAGGCACAGCAAAGGCTGGTTACCGGCCTTGCCCTACACCCCAATGTGCCCCAACTCAGGTGACAGCCCCTCACAGTGCCAGGATGCCAGGGCCATTTGGAAAGGGAGAGAGTGCGGGATGCCCCTCCAGTGGAGGGAGTTCCACCACCTGTGTTCCTCACACAGGGATAGCCCAGTCTTGTGGCAGCAGGCAATGTGCCAGGCAGGAGTTGGGTGGGAGGGGACCTTGGACCCCAGGACCCAAGCGTGACTGCCTCCTTTGGGAAGGAACCCGGGAGGGCCAGGGACAGCTAAAGCTTCCCCTCTTCTCAAGCTTATCCTGCAGAACCCCAGAGAGGGACATATTCCTCATATTCCTTGGAGGAAGCAGCCTCAGACCACCCCTTAGGGTCCACATCAAACATGAACCTGGAGTCTGCCCCAGTGGGATTGCATGCTTCTGGTCAGGGCTGGGCAGGAGGAGAGACTGTCTACACTCTCCACTCTCAAGGGCAGAGCCAGAAGGGGACAGCAAGCTGGGCAAGGGCCAGGGGCCCTGCCGGCCACTGTGGCCTGTGATAGAGACTCAGGTAGACACCCACAAAGTGCTCAGGGCAGGATACCCAGTACCCACTGAGCAGACCAAGCCCCTCAGAAAGCCAAGAGCACGGTGCACCCACCATTGGCGGAGAGCAGAGTGGCACCCTCCCACTCCTACAGGCTTCCCACATAGACTAGGCAGATAGGTACACTGGGGCATAGCTCCTATGGGAGGAGGGAGGGAGGCAGGCCTGGGCCAGCTTCCAGGACCCTTGCTAGTGAGCACAGGCGATGGGAGGGGGTACAGGCAAGGGCCCCTGGCACCAGACTGCAGCAGGACCCCAGGCAGGGGGTACCAGGAATACTCTGGCTCTCCTGTGTATGTGGGTGTGCTAGCAAAGGCAAGCACACTTGCCACCATGTGGCTGAGTGGCTGGCACGGGACTCAGCATGGCAGGACATGTGGCACAGTGGGGAGCTCGCCGCTGCACCTTCTTCTCATACACATCCTGCCACGCGATGCTGGCGAAGAAGCGGTGCTGCATGATCTCCTTGGCGTCCTCAGAGCCCCCGCCGAGCCTGCAGGGACGTGGCTGGCTCAGCACGGTGCCCCAGCCCTGCCCTCCCAGGGGTGCCAGGCAGGGGCTGCACCTCTGCTTGGGGTCCTTCTTGAGCAGCCCCGAGAGCAGGGACTTGGCCTCGGGGCCGAGCGTGCGTGGGAAGCGGATCTCCTCCATGAGGATAAGCTCGAACAGCTTCTCATGGTCCTGGTTGTAGAAGGGCAGGCGGCCGCACATCATCTCGTACATTACCACGCCCAGCCCCCACCAGTCCACTGCGCGGCCGTAGTCATTGTCCTCCAGCACCTGCACGGGGACTCAGGTCTCAGCACACTGTGGCACAGGGCAGCGGGGGTGTGGGTGACACGATGGGGGTGACGCACCTCAGGGGCCAGGTACTCAGGTGTCCCACAGAAGGTCTTCATGGTGGCACCGTCCTTGATGCCCTCCTTGCACAGCCCGAAGTCCGTAATCTTGATGTGCCCATCCTTGTCCAGCATGAGGTTCTCCAGCTATTGGAAGGCCTGGGGTCAACACTGCCGGCCCGGCCCCCACCTCCTGTAAGCCCACCTGTGGGGCCCAGCTTGGGCTCACCTTGAGGTCCCGGTACACCACATTCTTCTCAGAGTGCAGGTAGTCCAAGGCTGACACAATCTCTGCACCATAGAAGCGGGCCCGGTCCTCGGAAAACACGCGCTCACGGGACAGGTGGAAGAAAAGCTGTGGGAGGGGACACTGAGGGGCCACAGGCGAAGGGCTCCCTGCCACCTGCAGGCAGGGCACAGTGGGGCCAGTCCAGGGGCCCAGGGTCTGGAGGTCCCAGAGACCCAGAGATCCTAACTCAGGGACAGAGAACCATCCTGGGTCGCTGACAAGCCCACCCGTGCACTGGTGCCCTCGAGCTGCACCCTGCCTACCTCGCCCCCGTTGGCATACTCCATGACGAAGCAGAGGCGGTCGTGGGTCTGGAAGGAGTACTTCAGGGCCTAGAACGGAGCACAGCTGGGGCTGCAGCCCTCCATGAGGGCAGGGGCGGATGGAGGCCATGTGCCCACCAGCGCCAGGTGACCCATAGCCACCAAGGTGTGTTCTCAGGATGAGCTACAGGGTCTGGGCTCATGTCCAAGGGGACGGGGCAGCCTCACAAGGAGGTGACACGCCAAGCTCTGGCACCACCAAAACTGAAGGGAAACACAGCACTTGCTGAGGGCATCCACCCTGATGCTCCAAGCTGCCTGGCCCCCTCTGCCTCTCAGAAGGCCACCTATGGCTGGTCACCCACAAGGGCTGACCCTGGAGCTAAGCAACTGGTTGGACTGGGCCCTCTCCTGGGACAGGGGAGCCCAGCACACACCCCTCCTGGGCATGGCCCACTGGGTAAGCCTGGAAGATGGTTTGGCAGAGGTGTAGGACTTCCAGGCCCTTGGCAGAGTGGATGGAGACCAAGGTCACGAGCCCTGCCTCTGCATCCTGCAATCTGCAGCCCACACCTGGCACCATCATACCCAGCCACCATAAGCCATGCCCAAACCCCCAAAAAGGCCAGGTATAAGTGGCCCCACTCACCGTGAGGAAGGGATGCCTGGAGTTCTGCAGGACACGGTTCTCCGTGAGTGTATGGGCTACCTCATCCTGTAAGGCAGGATCAGTGAGTGCTGCCGCCCCTGTCCTGCACCCACCCCACCCCCACCTGCCCACGCACCTTGGCCACAATGACTTCCTTCTTAAGGATCTTCATGGCATAGTAGCGGCCCGTGGCCTTCTCCTTCACCAGGATCACCTTCCCAAAGGTGCCCTTGCCCAGCAGCTTCAGGTATTCAAACTCATTCATGGTCTGTGGGCAGCAGGCAGCGATGGTCAGGGCCCCTGCACCCCATGCCTGCCCATGGGGCAGACACCTGCTTGAAACCCAGAGGACGCAGTGTCACCCACAGCAGCCTGGGAAACGGTGCAGGCAGGGCCTAAGTCACCTGCAGGCCTGGTGACTCAGATCCAGGCCCCACCCTGGAAGTCAGGTGAGGACCCTGACCCCCAGCAGGGGCCCAGCCTTACCACTCGGTGCTTGGGCTTGGCCAGGGACACTTCCATCTCCTCAGCCCCTGAGTTGTCGCTGGGTGAGCCTGACTGAAACTCCATCAGCTCCTCCTCCTGCCTCTTGAGACCATCCGCCACAGTCTGGATGGCTGTTGTCCACTCCTCCCTACAGAGCGTCATGTGAGTCACCTTCATCCTTGGCCAGTCCAGCAACCCCAGAGCCCCCAGTGGCCACCCAGAACCTGGCCTCCCACAATGTGGAAACTCCCAGATGCTGGGGATATGGAGCTCCAGCCCCCAGCAGCATGGCACCCAACCCACCCTGTTTTCACCTCTAGCTTCAGTTTTCCCCACCACCTGAACCGCAAGGTAGGACAGGGCTAGTCTCTAGAATGGACCAAGGATGGCCATAAGCAGAAGGCACCACAGCCCTGCGCCATGTCCATCCCCCCCGCACTGGGGTTACTACCCGCAGCCATCCATCCATGCCCTGCCCCACACACCGCTCCTCTGGCGTCTCCACGTGGAAAGTGCGCTCAATGACCGTGGTCCACTGCAGGCAGCGAATGATGAAGGTGTTGGGCCTGGGCCGCTCTGTCTTCATCAGCTGGCATTCTGAGGTCACCGGGCCAGGGGGCATCATCAGCATTTGCCCCCCACAGCACCCACCCCAAAGTCCTGGCCACACCAGCCACGTCCCTACAGAGCCCCACTGGTCCCAGGGGGCTGTCCAGCCCCTCTCCAAGGCTGCTTCCCTCACAAACAGGGCTAGGCCCTGCTGCAGCTGGGATGCTGCCCTGGAGCTGAGAGGCATCCCCAAGAGGGGCCCCCTCCCAAGACACTTCCTGCCTTTGTCTCTGAGCCCCCATCTCATGCTCAGCCTTGGAGAGGGGAGCACTGAGGTTCCAGCAGGGCTGGGATGCAACCTGCCCATCCCACTGGTACACGAATGTCTGCAGCTTTTCCAAGCTGAGCTGGAGCATCTAGAGAATACATATATCCAGAGCACACACATGCACACCTGCAGCAGGAACACCTGGAGCACACCCGGAATAGCTATACAGCTGCAAAATACCCTCCTTGAGCACACATACTTGCAACATGTACACATCTGCAATATACACATGCATGCCACATGCACACCTGTGATATGTGTAGACCTGCGACATGCATACCGAGGGCCCACACACCCTGGGGCTCCTGCACACCTGCAGCACCCGCCCCTCGTGCATGGGAGGTGAGGGCAAAGCAGCCCTGAGGATCGTGAGCTGTATGTGCAGGGAGGGTTCTGGGCAGGGCTTGGAGTGAGGCAGGCAGGGCTGAGGGGCCAGCAGAGGAGCCTCCCACATTCCAGCACTGGGGCCCTGGCAACATAAGGGGCCGGCTGGGCTCCACTGGGGGCCCAGAAGGGGCCTGGAGCACAGCTCTGTGGGGAGGGCCTGTGTCAACACCAGGCACAGGAGAGTGGAAAACCTGCCTGCTCTTGTGTGACACAAGAGCCTCCTGCTTCCTCCAGGACAGCCCACCGGAGGCCACCAGATGGGATGCCATGCCCAAAGGGGCTGGGGCTTTGGCCCTACACATACCAGAACCCACCCTGGGAAAAGCCCCTGGTCACAGAGGCCCAACACAGCCACCCCACCCCACCCCCACCCCCTGTCTCTTGCATCCCATGGCCTGCTCATGGACCAGGCTGTGCTCATGGCCCCCACTGTGCCCCTCCACAGTCCCCCTGCTGCCTCGGCCCACCACATTCGTCCTAGGGTACACTCCTGGTGCCTCCTCCAGCAAGGCACCCTCCACAGCCATGAAGGCCCCAGCTCTGACACAGGGGACGCTGGAGAGAGCTTAGGTCAAGGCTCCCAGGGGACTTGCGTCTGCCTCCTTGGTCTCACCCATCCTGGGGGCCCCCCCACCATCAGACCACTCTGCTGCTGCAGGGCCTCAGGCTGGAGAAACCTCAGAGGAGGAACTCAGGGTTCAGAGAACCAGGTCAAGGTAAAGCCCTCAGGAGGCCCTCAGCATGGGCCTCACAGGGCAGGGTCTGCTCCTCCCAACTGGGTACCCGGGGAGAAGGGTGCTGGCTATGTCCTCCTCTTCAGAGCACAAGCTGGGGATACTTGGCGTTGGTGACAATGCTCCCAGGGTGCCAGAATCATCCCTGCTCCTCTTTCTGCCTGCAAGTGCCAAGGCCAGGTCCTTCCATACCCAGCCTGGGCCCTGGGGCTAGAACCCAGGGGCCAGTGAGGTTGGGGGAATCAGAGGACCCCAGGTCCCAGGGTACAACCCAGGACCAACCCATGGTGGGAACTGTACTACACCCCCAGACTACAGCCTCAGGCCAACATCTGAGGCCTGCCCTTGGCCAGCCCATTCAACACAGTGTCCCACAGCCTAGCCCTATCAACACTCGGTCAGAGGCTAAGGGAGATGGAAGCACCCCCCACCTTTCCCTGCCTACAGGGTCCTTAAGAGAGACCTGGTGGACCCTGTTCAGCCCCACGTGCCAGAGCCTCCAGCTTCCAAAGAAGAGCCCTAGGGAATAGTGCCATCATGGCCATGCCTGAGCAGACCATGCAGCCCCAAAGATGACCCAGGGTGAACCAGGAGCCAGCACTGCCTGACCGGCTCCCCAGGACACAGGCCAAAGGGTACCTCAGCAGGGGCCTGGTACACACAGGGCTCCAGCCATCACTGCCCACCATCACCATGCCCTCCAACCCAGAGCGGCCAAGAGGACACTTACGTGCCACAGAGAAGTTGTTGAGAGGGGACTCACGCTGGTCTACATCCTGTGGCCGCTCCTTGTAGCCGATGAAGGTGCCGTCATTCTTGAGGAGGAAGTAGCGTGGCCGCCAGGTCTTGATGTACTCCCCTGTGGGGCAGGAGGGAGGGCCGCACACTGAGCACACTGGGTGGGCAGGGAGTGGGCGCTGGCCTCCAGACAGAGGCACTCTGTAGAGCCAGGATCAAGAGTGCCCAGCTCCACTGCCAGGGCTCAGGACAAGGGCTCTGCCCAGGCACCTGAGAGCTGGCGGGTGGTAGCTGCTGGTGACAAAGGTAGGTATGGGCTGCCACAAGGCTGGCCCCTGGCTGAGGACGGAGCCTAGTGTATGGTGAGGAAGGGGACTCGTGGCCACAGCTGGCTAGGGCTGGGCCACAGGATGGCCACTCAAAAGGGACAGCAACTGCCTGCCCCAGGCTCTGGGTACCACTCGGGGCCTGGGAAACAGACCTGGGAGGCTCCTGCAGCTGCGCACCAAGACCTGCCCTGGGTCACCCAGGTACACGGCAATGTTCTCCCTCAAGTTATTTTGCAACATCAGCCATAAACAGGCACTCACAAGTGGGGACAAAAGCAGATGTCCTTTGTGATCTCCAAGCAACTGTCATTTTTCATAGTGACACCCGGAAGAAACGTTTCATTTACATTTTGCCGAGCAAGGAGTCTGAACAGGGAACTTACTAATTAGGCAACTTCTTCATCTGAGGGTGGGCAGAGGGTGGGGTGGGGTGGGACCAGCCCACAGGGTCAAGGCCCTGCACAGGGGCCATGTCCTCTGCCACGCCAAGCCCTGGATGGGGCACCTGGAGGGACAAGCAGACAGCAATGGCATAGTCCCATGGGTGAGGCATGCACACTACAACCCCAGAGCACAGAGCGGGTTCCCGGTCAGATGCCTGGGGCAGGCACTACTCCCAAGGTGCCCAGGCTGTGGGGCTGGGCAGCATCTTAACTTCCTATAGCCCCAGAGGCCTGGCCATCCTTCTCCACCTATGGTCCTCCTACAGGCCACACCCCACAGTGGTGTCCAGGGGGCCCAATGTCAAGCCTTCACAGCCTCAGCTCCACCCCCCAGGCTGCAGGCCACAGAGGCTTCCCCAAGGCCACCACTCATTTGCTCCAACCAAACTCTGCCATCCTGGCCAATGGGAGATCCACAGGGGACAGAAACGCCTGCCCCAGCAGGGCCAACTGTGTGTGTGGGGCTCGGGGTTAGCCCTGGGTCAGGCTTGGGAGAAGGTGGCCAGAGCCCAGACCAGGCCACCACCCACATCCCGGACACCAGCAGGAAGGGCCCCCCACCCCCCCATCTGCAATGCTCCAGATGTGTGTGAACATTGCAGGGGTCCTTCTGAGGGGACAGATCCCCTCAATGCTGGCCTGCAGCTCACTTGTGGCCACCAGGGCACTTACAACCTAACCCTGGATCCCAGGGTTGCTGGTGGCCTTGGGCCATCACCCAGCACCAACCCTCTTGAGGAGGTCAGTAACAGACCCCCCCCAAGTACACAACACAGGGTCCCATGGCCCTGGGGACCCCAGCTCTTTAGGCGGTCAGCGGGGCAGGCCCCATAGACTCCAGCCCTGGCCACGCACCCCTTCCCCACCCAGCCCCAGCCTGGACACAGGGCCTGGCTGCACAGTGTCGGCAGGAGGTACAGGGAGCAGAGTGGGCAGGGGGCACCCACCACGCGTGCCCACCCGCCGGTGCCAGTCTGGAGCTGTCGGCCCCTGATGGAGTACCTCCCATCTCACCAGCTGCCGCTCCCCGGGACACTAACCGAGCAGGGCTGTTGATGAGCAACATATCCACACACCCCAGAAATCCATCTTGCTCCACCAACTGCCGCCTGCCCCCACTGCGCCCCCCGCACAACCCGGCACTCAGCGCCCACCCGACTCCCAACCCAGCCTACAGCAGCATCCTCCCACCTCCTGACGGAGCTCTAGTGCAAGCCATTCTGAGAGCAGGATCTGGGGATGCAGGCTAAACTCAGCCCCCTAAGAGAAGGGCCAGGAAGGCCCAGGAGTCTGGCATTGGAAAGGCTGTGCCCTCTCTGCCTATAGACCCAGCACCCAGACCCCTCCAGAGGAGGAATGGGGCCCTGTGCCCAGGACAGGCTGGGAGACACAATCTTCTCCTTCATCTCCGCCTGCCAGGCCAGCCAGGCCATCACTGTGGCAGGAGGCAGCTGTGGCCTGGGCCGTGGCTGGCATCTTAACGAGTTCAGTCCAGACAGAATGAGAGGTAGGCAGGCAGCCTGGACTGGGAGGCCCCAGGAGCATAAGTCAAGGGGGCGGCCACTGAGGGCCTGTGTGGGGGACATGCCCACTGGTGGAACAGGCAGGAAGAGACTGGCCCACAAGGCTCCCTTTTGTCCTTAGCATCTCGGAGGCCCACTGCTCTGGCTTGACTACCTACCCTGGAGCAAGCTGAGTCCAGCTGGGGATGTAAAGAACCAGCCACCTTTCTCTACCCATCCTTCAGGGATGCAGCCCACATGGGGACCACAGGGCCTAGCCTGCATCCCCACTGCCCTCACAGGGCCACATTCTGGCCAGAGGACAGAGCCAAGTGAGCCTCCCAGGACGCTGCCCCTCCATGGGTCCCCACTGCTCCCCAAGCCAGAGATACACCCCACGTGCAGGACAACCAGAGGCAGCCACAGTGGGTGCTCAGGCCAGAGGCTCACACGTCCTGCTCATCCCAGCCCTGATATCAGCATGGGTGCAGCTGCTGCAAGGACCTGCTGTCCTGTGCCCACACTACAGGCAGACAGAGGTGGGTGCTGTCTGTCCTACCTCTGGGGGCCTGCTCTGCACCACTGCAGTCCTTCAGCCCCTGGGGATGTCCCCCACCCCCAAGCTGCAGGGTGGGCAGCTATGAGCCAGGCCCCTGTAGCCCAGCCCAGGCTGGCAGACAGGCCTGAACCCCCACTCACCCTGTACCCAGCCCATGGGCCCTAAGCATCCCTGTGGTCAATCTGATTGGGTCCCCAGCCATTCCCAGCAAGGGAAGGGGTCCCTCCAGGCAGCCCCTCCTGGGCTAGATACTGGGGATCTAGCAGGGCCCCCAAAAGGGCCCAGTGGCCAAAGCACCCATAGGATGGAGCCTCATGGCCAGTGCTAGGCCAGGCCACAGGTCACAGATCCGTCCCTGGGGTCCCTCCAAGCACAGGACCCTCTGAACTACAGCAGCCCCTCCCCCGCATCCCAGCACCACAACACCCCAAGTCCCGGCTCTCGGGAAACTGCTGGGTAAACACTTTGCTGCACGGTGGTGCAGTGGCAGGCAGCAGCTGGCAGGGTGCCAGGCGGCACCGAGCTGTTTCTCCACAGCAAAGTGAGCCCCAGCAGGCCCGTGGAGCAGGCACCAGCTGACAGCGGCGATGTAGTACCCCGCCGCCACCACATCCATCGTGCTCGACAGCTGCTGGGCGCCCATTTACCTTCTCCAGCACATTGAGCACTCACACAGCGCGGACAGCGGCCCTCTGGGCTGGTGGGCGACACGGTCACCTCCAAGGCCCAGCTGTCTGTCGGTCCTCTGCCTGGGCCTTAGGTCCCCACATCGCCTGACCTGAGCAGGTGCAGGCCACAGATGGATCAGGAACCAGTGAGGACAGGACAGGGTGAGAGGAGCCATGCCACAAGGCCACCACCCCCACCTCCCGCCTCCCCAGGTGGCCCCGGCGAGTGAGGTGCCCTGCCTGAGCCTCAGGGACACGAGTGGCCGGCTTAGATGCCGTGCCACAAGCTGTCTGGGTTTCTCTCCTGCCCGCAGCACCATCCACCCCCAGGAAGCCCACTTGGGAACAGGGAGGCAGTATCATTATGCCCACTTGCTCCCTGGGGAGACCGAGGCTCCCACAGGGAAGACGCAGAGCAGCACAGACCCAGGTGCCACAGGGTACAGGCAGCTCTTCAAAAGCTCTGGCTCTGCCCGGAAGCAGGCCCAGCAACGCCATACAGCCCTGCGGGGTGCAGAGGCCAAGGTGCCACCAGGGTGCTGTTGGATGACACTGCCACCCCATCCATCACCCTGCCATCCAAGCTGCAGGCCCCGGCCCACCCACACTGCTTCCTCCCTACAGCTACCTCTTCTTTGGCACTGCCCGGCACCCCACTACGCCACACACCCAACCTGTGCAGCTATCACCAAGCCCATTGCTCTGCATCCTGTGTCCCCCAAATCTTCCTACTCAGTCCCATGGCCTGTACCCAGGCTCAGCCTCAGGTCTCCCTAACCCAGCAGCCCAGTCCCACAGGTGCTGGCTCTGCCTGTCCTGCTCAGGGCTCACCCTGGCCAAACCCCAGCCCGCAAGCCACCACCAAGCTCTGTCCCCACACCAGGCCTCCCATCACCTGCTGTGTGTGATGCAGCAGCTAACAGCAGGGGACCCATGACAGGCTGGAGGTCACACAAGGAAGGGGCATTGGAGGCCTACACAGCACAGCACCTGGTTCAGTTCTAGAACAGTGTCCAGGAAGCAGTCCAGCCAAACCCACCCCAGCAGGGACAGTGACAGAGTTTCTGGCCAGATGAGGGGAGGCAAGAGGGCACTGGACAGGGGGTGAGAAGGCAGCACCAGCCACTCTGCAAAGGGACAGGAGCCCAGGGCTCCTCCAGGGCAGAGCAGGCAGGGCAGCAAGGCTGCACAAATGTGAGCCCCATCCCCACCACCATGCAGACACCCAGAGGACAAAGGGGCCAGGACCCAGGGCACGTCCGCTACCCCCACAAGAGCTACCTTGCACCCTGGGCGCCCTGCCACCCTGGGCCAGGAGGCTGAGCACAGTGCCAAGTCTGCTCCACATCCCAGCCAGCCACCTTGAGGTGCCACCTGATCCAAGTGGCCTCACCCTACTCCTACCAAGCTGGATCCCCGTCAGGACCCATTGTGGATTGCCACCAGACTCCCCCAGAGGAAGCCCCACCTGACAGCCCACTGAGGCCCTGGGCAGGTGGCCCACTCCAGATGTCACTGGTAGAGGATAAGCATGGGGCTGAAGTGCTGGCCACCCAAACCCAGCACCCAAGGATCCCACCCACACCCTAGCACGGCAGGACAGTCACCAGCCAACCCTGTTGCCTAGCACCAACACCTGCAGGCACACACCTGTTACTTCCCAAGATTAGAGGAGTCCATCCAGCAGCAGAGGACAGGCAGCACGGAGGAGTGGCCCCCAGCAGACAGGGCTACGGCTGGAGCACAGCCCTCCACCAGCTGCCAGCCCAGGTTTGGCTGGAGAGAGCAGGGCGGGCAGAGCTGTGGCCTCTGCCATTACCACAGGGCAGTCCTGGGCAGCAGGCGACAGCCTCGGCTCCAGTTGTGGGAGGGCTGAGGCTGGGTGCTGGCGCCAAGCCTGGTCCGGGTGTGCCCAGGCTGGGGGAATGCCAGTCCAGCCATGCCAGCTCCCTCCACACACCCCCAGCACTTCTAGGAACTGGCCTGATGCAACCCGCCATTCTCTCCTGGGAGCCAGGAGCCACCCAGTGCAGCCCTTTCCACAGGGCTGCCATGGGGCCAGGAGGAATCCAGGCCCACAGCTGGGTGGGTGGCATGGCCCTGTCCGTGCCCACTCCACTAAGTCCAGGACACCATGGAGCCACCCCCCGCCCCCACTGGAGGACACCTCTGCCAGACAGGATGGACAGCCAGGATGTAACGGCAGGAGTACTGACTGCGTGAGAACCACCAGGCTCAGGGGCCCCCACATCCAGGCTGGGGCCAACAGTGATCCCATCCCCAGCGCAAGGCCGCCTGCTTCCTCTTTTGTTGTTTGTTTTTAAAGTGAGAGTTCAATAGCTCACAAAATAGGAATCTTGGGCCCTGCACCGCCAGCCTCAGCCACAGCCATGCCACCAGCCCTCACTGCTTGTCCCCTGCATCAGGCCACGGCTGGGCTCCCACGCACTGCACACCCTCCTCCTGGACAGCCAAGGTGCACCAACTGTGGCAAAGCATCTAGGTGCCCGGTCTGGGACTCACTGCCCAGGGTACCAGTCCCAGAGCTCACAGGGTGTCCAGCATCAGATCGCGATGCATCCACAGCAGGACACAGGTGGCCCAGCCAACACATAGCTCTCCTGGTTTCAGCTGAGCTGAGGCCCAGATGCACCCTGACGTACCTGGGTGCACGGACCTACCCATCCCAAGTCTTCCTCTCCTGGGCCAGCTCTCCACTGTGGCTGAGGGACACGAAGGACAACTGAGGGTACAAGAGCAGGACATTTGAGGTGGAGGTTCGGCCCGGGCACCATCCTCAGGGCACGGGACACACAACAACCCCATGGTCACAGTGGTGCTGTCTCCCCAGCTTCAGCCCACAGCCAGTGTAGTCTGGCCCCAGGCCATCCTGGGGAGCGCTGGCTGAGATAGCCCCCCACCTTGGGCAGCACCCTACCCTGCAGGAGCCATGAGGGCAGCCTGGCACATCGGGGTGGCCCCGGCCTGAGTGCTGTGGGGACACAAGGACACCGCAGGCCAGAGAGGGCAGTGAGCGGCAATTGCCCCATTGGCTAGCACAGAGAGGGTCCCAGAGACCAAGGAGGGAAACCAGGGGCCCAGGCCAAGCCGATCAGCAGGATGCCAGTGCCACCTCCCACCCAGGGGCTGCCCCACCTGCTCTGTGCAGATGGGGACACTGAGGCCCCAGGCTGTCCGTGACCTTTGTCCCACAGGGCATCACCAGGACAGAGTGGCCAACAGGGACACCCCAGGGATGGATGTCCTGCCACCCTCCAGGCCCCGGAATGGAGCACTGTGAGCAACAACCTGAAACTTCAGGACCTAGGGGCGCCAGTGGTCCTGGCCGTCACAGACGGCCCCAGGCAGGCAGCGCCCCAGGAATGCGAAGCCAGGCAATGCCCCATCATTCAACCAGCAATGGCTAAGGAGGAGACTGCAGTGGCAGTGTGGAGAGCAACAGGCTGAGTGGGGGCTGGTGTCCCCAAACCACAGGCTGTGAGGTGACATGGGGAAGGTGCGGCCTGGGGCCAGAATGGGACGGCATTGGACGGAAGAGAGGAGAGGCAGGCAGGGCAGAAGAGTGCAGCAGGTGAGGAGGGCCCAGACCCCAGGCTGCAGCCTCCTCACCCGATACTGGCAGCAACCGACCTCCCGGGGGCTGCCAAATCAGGCTCTCTAGGGACAGCGACCACATCCTCCACATAAGCTTCTGGTCCCCTGGAGGCCCTGGCACCTCATCTCTGTCACCCCTGGCTTCGTTGCTAGCCCCTACAGCTCCCTGGCCCACTCTGCAGAGGACCTCCTATACATCTCACAAAACCCCATCTCATGACACCCACTTTTGCCACAGCTCCCTCTCTGATCTATGCCTGGGGCTACCCCTGACAAAGGCATGGGGTCTATCCACCAGAGGACACGTTGAGCCACTGGCATGGAATCACCAGGACCTCCAGAGGAGCAGGTCTTCAGGAAGAAGTGCAGAGGGGCTGGCCAGTGCCCACTCTAGGGCAGGAGGGAACGGCTGAATGAAGAGCCTGCCTCATGTTCTTCCCTGGGCTGCAGGGCTCCCACAGGTGCAGGTTGCCCAGGCTGGGCTCCTCAGTAGGAGGGGAGCCCCAGAGCCCAGTTTAAGGCAGGAAGGCCCTGCCCTGCCGTCGGGAGCCCTTGGCAGTGCCCAGCTGCCAGGGGACCCGCCCCAGGGCACTGTGTCCTCACCGCCTTCTAGGAAAGCCAGAGTGGCACCCTGCCCCGCCCCCAGCACCCACCACCAGGAAGGCCAGGTTGGGCCCCAGGCTCCGGCCCAGCAGCATCACTGACCTCGCTTGTGCAGCCAGCCCTCCTTCACTATGGCCACATCGTTCATGGTGCCCGTGGGCCCCGTGGGCCGGGACGGCCCCAGGGTGCTCGTGGTCTCCACAGTCTTCTCTCAGGGGGCTCAAGGCCAATCCTGGCCACCGTCTGAAACAAGAAGGGGGTATGAGGTGGGGCCTGAGGGTCTCAGACGGGCACCTGCCCATCCTCCTCTCCCCAGGCCCCGCTGCTCCTGGCCTGCAGGGCCACTCCCACCAAGGCCTCTCTGTCCAGCCTTGCACTTGCTCACCACTCACTGCCTCCTCCAGGCCACCCTGGCAGGACATATGGCCCACAGGGACCTCACACCCTGGGAAGGCAGAACCCTTGCCATATGCAGGTGGCAGCATCAAGGAGAGCCCAGAGCCCTCAACGATAGTGACACCTTCCACCAGCAGGTCGGGCCACGAGAACCACAGCACCCTGTCCTCTCAATCCAGTTCATTTACTCCACCAACACCGACCAGGCTTCTCTACTTTTGCCAGGCCCAGCACTGGGCCCAAGACAAAGATACATGCAGATAGCCCTGTCGGTAAGGAGCACAGAGTGGGGTGGTTACAGACCCACAATCACAGCATTCAGGAGGCCACAAATGGGGGGGACACTGTACAAGTCCCCCCCTTCAGAGGCCCACCAGCCAGCCCATGCCAAACAGCTATCCCACTGCAAGTACTATACTCCTAGGCAACCCTCAAAACCCAGTTCTCATGTCACCACTCCTGGGCATCCTGGAAAAGAGCACCTGGACACTCTTGCCAGCAGCCCTGTGCTAGCCCTCAGGCGACCACAGGCCCAACAGAGACCTGAAGATCAGGCAGCATGGAACCCCACTTGGGTCCTTTCACAGCCAGTTGGGAGACCTCCCAGCGGCCACATCTCTGGCATTCTGGGGCTCGTACTGGGTGCCTGGAGTGTCACTGGCCCTCATTGTCTTCAGCTACAACTGGCCCAGCAGGAAGGCCCCAACATCGGTCAAGGGCTGGGACAGGGAAGCCCAGCCCACAGAGGAAGTGGGTACTCCAAACGCCTGGGGAAGGGGGTAGGAGGCTCCCAGGCAGGGCAGCCACAAGGGGCTCTGTGGCCCATTGGGTGTGTCCTGAAGGCCTGGAGGCCTCCACCCCCACCGCAGCCCAGGCCTGCTGTTGACAGTCAGACAGCTGTAGGGCCCCGTGTATAAATACATCATGCACATGCATGGGGTGCATGGGCAAGGCCAGCCTGGACGCAGAACCCCACCTTGGGTCCCCAGTGCCTCACACAGGAGTGGGGGGGGCTACCATTACGGCCTGAGGCACAATGCCCCAGACATCTGGGTCTCCAGGGGCTTGGGCTACCAAGCGCCCACCCGCCCTTCGCGGGGCTGGGGAGGCAGTGAGCGGCTGCCGGCTGGAGCAAGGAAGGGCTGGGGCCACAGACACAGGCCCAGCTCAGGAGCCTGCCGGCGCAGGACGGCTCATCTGCAGAGCCCCGCTGGCTCTCCAGGCCCCTGCTCACCAGGGTGGGTAGCACCTCCAGGCCCAGGCAGGCAGGAAGCAGCTTCCAGGCCGGGAGGTCCAGGCGCCCTTTGTGGGCTAGCCTGGGCGCCCTGCCACCGCGACAACTTTTCGTCCACGGGAAATGAGGTCTCCTTCCAGGCCCTCCCACGGGCTCGCAGGCCCCAGCCTTTCTC